ACAAAGTCTCTACCAAATTTGATACATGTATTGATTTGTGAAATGTCAAAGGGAAAGATGGAACACGAAATATGGACATTTACAGTGGCATGGAAATAAGTATATAAGTGAGTGTGGATATGATAATATGGATGAATGAGAAGGAAACATTAGATGACCATGCAAATTCACTAAGATATTATCTCAAGTAATATAAAAATAAGTCCAAAGAAAATTCAAAGCATCTGAATTACAACATAATCAAATAACTATTATGCAACTATATCACTTATTGGCCTAAACTACCATTTTTTAAAGGATCGTTATCGTCGTTTTGATAGGTGACATTATTCATTAACAACTTGCTTACCTCCAAGGTATTGATAGTGAGGCGGATATAAAGATCAATGACATATCACTTATCCTCTTCCCTCATCTATCTTAGAGCTCAAATTCTCAATATGTGATTTGTTTGCTTTCATTTTGGCTCAAGCTCTGGTGTTGAAAACACGAGTTTGATTAGTGTTGTCTTTCCTAGGTCACGTAGTGATTCCAATTTTAAATTTGTCACTACCAAACAGTTTGGTTTAAAAAAATTATTTTGAGACTATTTCCGTTATCAAACGAAGAACTTTCCATATAACAAGTTGATCATCCCACAATTGTTTTATAAGGTTATAACCCCTTAGATCATGTAGCGGTTGATGACAATCACAGAGAGAGCACACATGCTCCATAATATGATCGCATATGATCTTTTGAATATTCATGATCTTATGATATATAGAATGAGACATCGTTCGATAATGATCCTAAAAGCAAATAATAATGTAAGTTCTTTCGCATAGGTGTAACTAATGGATGTATGATTTGATGAATGCACTATATGATGAATGATTGTGTTGAATGATTTTTGTATGGATGCATGATGTGAATGAGACATGTGACTTTTCCCCCCTGAATGCAAGATAACATGCATAAAATAAAGTTTTTTTTCATTTAGTTTGTATGATGACATGAAGTGCATATGCTATTATGATTTGATTTTTTTTTTTGCATGATATGCATGTGTATTATGCTATTATGATATTATTTTTTGTTCTTATTTTTTATAAGTGCATGATATGCATATGTACGCTATTATGAAATTATTTTTTTAATCTTTTTTTAATGAGTGCATGATATGCATGTGTATGCTATTATGAAATAATTTTGTTTATCTTGTTTTTTTATAAATGCATTATATGCATGTGCATGCTATTATGAAATGATTTTTTTTATCTTATTTTTTTATGAATACATGATATGCATGTGCAAGCTATTATGAAATGATTTTTTTTAGTCTTCCATCATGACATAAGGATACCCAAGTGTAGTGATACCCTAATACCACTCAGGCTCATGTGATGTTGAGTCACTATGATTGCGGGATGGGTTTTCACAGCCTCATGACAAAATATGAAATAAATAATAACATAAAAATGTATACTCCCATATCCTATACAAGGGTGTTTGATCATATAAGGTTTATTCGGGTCTAAAACGTCATATCCTAAGGTGAAGTTCTAAGGTCCATATATGCATAATTTGGTGGTACTAGACTTCCTCTAGGTCCCCGAAATGTCATCACTAGTGGAAGTTGACGACCCAAATACACAAATATGACACGAAGATGTACGAGACACCATGGGGGTCATATCCGAAATACCCAGTAACAATCCGAGTGATACACTAGCGCAATATCGAAATGTGCACGAAGGCCCAATAACGACAAGCCAATGTATCCTTAAACAATAGGAAAATAGATCTGGTAGACGGCCGAAAGAACAATGCATGAGTAATGAAATGTGTGTGAGAGCGTACAAACCTCGAAGATATACACATAAAAAAAACCATAAACCAACCCACAACCTGTACATACAGCAAAACACAAATTCTTTGTACAAGAGTTAAATATATAAAAAAGAAGTTAATAATAAAAAATCAAAAAATGGATAAAATTATAATAATGAATGAAACATCCACATAATTAATCGTTTAAGGCTTGACTCTCAGCTAGTCCCCAGCAGAGTCATCATTCTTTTGCTACCCCTTTTTTGTGGGTACGACGGGAAATGTGCAAATAAATGCAATAGAGTCGCCATCAATGTTTTTTAGAGGGAAAACATGAAAAACCAATTTTTTTATATAAAAAGGGATTCGGTCTGCTTACACGGAAAAATTAAGTTCGGGAGTCGGTTACAGATGAGGAAGGTGTTAGGTACCTCATACTGTCCGTTATAAAAATGGTACCTAAATTAATCATGTGGATATTTATTCGAAATATTAATTTTACCCTCAAATTATTAAGTAAAAAAGAAAAAAAAATTATTTTTTACTTTTTGTGCCTGACAGGAAAAAACGTGTTCCTACGTATCTCTAGCTGCAATAGAGAAATCAAGGCTACGTAGATCTTTCAGAAAAAAGGTTGATTGGTTGATATATATATATTTTTTTAAAATAAATAACAAGGTCGAGTAACGCGACAAGGCACGAGTCCCATGGTGCACTATCTTCCATTGTATTTATTAAATTATGTTTGAAAATAATCAAATTGAGATAACGCGACAGGGAACGAGTCTCATAGTGCACCATCTCTCCTTGATTTATTTAAGTTTAGAAAAAAAAAACATCAATTTGAGATAACGCGACAAGGAACGAGTCTCAAAGTGCATATCTCTCATTGATTTATTTAATTACGTTTGAAAATAATCAATTTGAGATAACGCGACAGGGAACGAGTCTCATAGTGCACCATTTCTCCTTGATTTATTTAAGTTTAGAGAAAAAACATCAATTTGAGATAACGCGACAGGTAACGAGTCACATAGTGCATATCTCTCATTGATTTATTTATGTTTAGAAAAATATCAATTTGAGATAACATGACAGGGAATGAGTCCCATAGTGCATAGCTCTCCTTGATTTATTTATGTTTAGAAAAATATCAATTTGAGATAACGCGACAGGTAACGAGTCCCATAGTGCATATCTCTCATTGATTTATTTATGTTTAGAAAAAATATCAATTTAAGATAACGCGACAGGTAACGAGTCCCATAGTGCATATATCTCCTTGATTTATTTATGTTTAGAAAAAATATCAATTTGAGATAACGCGACAGGGAACGAGTCTCATAGTGCATTTCTCTCCTTGATTTATTTATGTTTAGAAAAATATCAATTTGAGATAACGCGACAGATAACGAGTCTCATAGTGCATATCTCTCCTTGATTTATTTATGTTTAGAAAAAATATCAATTTGAGATAACGCGACAGGTAACGAGTCCCATAGTGCATATCTCTCCTTGATTTATTTAAGTTTAGAAAAAAAAACATCAATTTGAGATAACGTAACAGGGAATGAGTCTCATAGTGCATATATCTCCTTGATTTATTTATGTTTTGAAAAAATATCAATTTGAGATAACGCGATAGGGAACGAGTCCCATAGTGCATATCTCTCCTTGATTTATTTATGTTTTGCAAAAAAATATCAATTTGAGATAACGCGACAGGGAACGAGTCTCATAGTGCATTTCTCTCCTTGATTTATTTATGTTTAGAAAAATATCAATTTGAGATAACGCGACAGAGAACGAGTCTCATAGTGCATATCTCTCCTTGATTTATTTATGTTTAGAAAAATATCAATTTGAGATAACGCGACAGGTAACGAGTCCCATAGTGCATATCTCTCCTTGATTTATTTAAGTTTAGAAAAAAAACATCAATTTGAGATAACGTAACAGGGAATGAGTCTCATAGTGCATATATCTCCTTGATTTATTTATGTTTTGAAAAAATATCAATTTGAGATAACGCGATAGGGAACGAGTCACATAGTGCATATCTCTCCTTGATTTATTTATGTTTTGAAAAAAATATCAATTTGAGATAACGCGACAGGGAACGAGTCCCATAGTGCAATCTCTCATTGATTTATTTATGTTTAGAAAAAATATCAATTTGAGATAACGCGACAGGTAACGAGTCTCATAGTTCATATATCTCTTTGATTTATTTATGTTTAGAAAAAATATCAATTTGAGATAACGCGACAGGGAACGAGTCTCATAGTGCATTTCTCTCCTTGATTTATTTATGTTTAGAAAAATATCAATTTGAGATAACGCGACAGAGAACGAGTCTCATAGTGCATATCTCTCCTTGATTTATTTATTTTTAGAAAAAATATCAATTTGAGATAACGCGACAGGTAACGAGTCCCATAGGGCATATCTCTCCTTGATTTATTTAAGTTTAAAAAAAACATCAATTTGAGATAACGTAACAGTGAATGAGTCTCATAGTGCATATATCTCCTTGATTTATTTATGTTTTGAAAAATATCAATTTGAGATAACGCGACAGGGAACGAGTCCCATAGTGCATATCTCTCCTTGATTTATTTAAAATATTCAATTGCTTTTTTTATTTATTTATCATTATTCTTGTTTTCACATTAATTTTTATAATGCAAATATTAATAATAAAACAGAAAATAAAATAAATAAATAAATAACAAACAGCAAAAAAATAAAATAAAAATAAAACAGAATATAATAATAATAATAATTAAATAAATAAATAAATAAAGATGGGGAAATGGTTTGGGGATTTTATGATAAATTTGGTTTGGAGTTTAGGTTAAAATTGATTTGGGGTTTATGTTAAAATTAATTTGAGGGTTTATGTTAAAATTGATTTGGGGGTTTATGTTAAAATTGATTTTGGGTTTAGGTTAAAATTGATTTGAGGTTTAAGTTAGGGTTGCCATGAGAGACAACCCTTACTTTTGGCCGAAAAATATAAAATAAAATAAAATAAATGGCGGCAACAGCGTAATAGCGTCGGCGGCAGTGGCGGTGTCACTCACAATAATGAGTAATAATAAAAAATAACTACATTCAACTCAGAAACAACAACCACACAACAACTCAGAAATAAAACTTAGAACAAAGAAATGAAGAAGATAAACCTCTTGATGTTTGGGGAATATGAAGTGTAATGGTGATCTTTCTTTATCTCCTTCCTCTTCTCCTTCTTCTTCTCCCCTTTTTTTTCTTCCTTTCCTTTCCTTTCCTTTCCTTCTTTTCTTTTTCCTCTCCTCTCTTCCTTCTTTTCTTTCTTTTTTTCTCTCTGCCCAGCTGCACCTCCCCCTTCCCCCTTTCCTCTTCTTTAGTTTAGGTATTTATATATTTAGGGGCCTTAAGAGTAGGGTTAGGGTTATGGTTGATGGGTCATCCTGAGCCCAATTGCCACCATTTTTTACCCTACACTATTCATTATTTACTTATCATTATTTTTATTTTTATTTTAAAAATTAAAATACTCCGGTCAAAATTGGGTGTTTACAGTTATATATATTGATGGTATTATTCATCATCTTTAAGTTTATATAAAAGTCTCCCACACTAAAGTCTATACTAAAGATTTATCCAACAAGCGGTATTAGAGTCACTTTCATGTCATATCATTGGGAAATGCATAAAGTTAGTTTTTGTTTCAATGTTTGTATATGCCTTATGTTTAATTAGTCTCATGTTTCGGAAAGAAATGCTACAAAATGCATAAACCTTTTATGCTTGTTTCTGCTTCTTAATGTTTCATCGTGTTCATTGTTTCTATTTTGTTCAATAATGTTTCAACGTGTTCATTGTTTCTACTTTGTTGAATAAAATTCTACTTTGTTCACTGTTTTCAGTGTTTCGTTGTTTCTCACTATTACTACATAGTCAATATTATTTCAATATTGTTTTAACGTGTGTTTCTATATTGTACATAGTGTTTCTTTATTTTTCATCCACTGTTAGTGTGTTTCATTACTACATATTCACTATTAGTCTTGTTTCACTATTTTGTTTCATACATAATTACTACGTATTCAACTTATTTCAAAGTAGTGTTTCAATATTTCATTTCACTCTTAAATGTGTTGTTTCAATATTCAATATATCCTGTCACTGTGGTGTTGTTTCAATATTCAATATTTCATATCACTGTTCACATATAACTGTTCATATATAACTGATCATAGTGTTTAGATTTAGCATATGAAGATGCAATAACTTCAGCATATGACAGGGTCATCTTCATTATTTAATATGAACACAAATACTTCATTTTTCACTGTCTAGTTGTTTGTGACCGTCTTTATTTTTGCACCATGAAAACATGTTCTATTTGATTGATTTAATATTGTTGTATAAGAACATGTATTTTGGTTTTGATTCAAATTGAAACAAGAAATTATTAATAGTTATGATAGACCACTCCATAAAAAATAAACTATATTTGTGTTCTATATGAATATACTTGATCTGGTCAAATAATTTGCAAATAATTGACCTGGTCTGCAGAATAAGCTTTAATAAGGGCGAGTACTAACTATTCACACATGCATCACTTGTTGAGTGTGACAAGTTATATAATGTTGTCAGAAAACATTTTCTATGTAATATTACAAAACCTTCTAAGTTATTATAAAAAATGATAAAAAATTTAAAATTACACTTATTTATTAAAATTACAAAAAAATAACTTTCTAATATGTAGAAAACCATTTTAAAAAGTCTATTTGTGTCAAAATCATAAATTTTTGTGTCAACCACTCTTCCACTGTCATGTACCTTCCCATTATCGCATACGCACTTTGTGGACCAACATCAATTTACAAGCCAAGATACGAGTCATGGTGTAGTCAAAACATTCCCTCCTTCTTAGTTTTCATACCATTCATTACATATGTCAAAACCGGCTATCAAGACAAGTTCAGTATACCCACATCGGGTTCGGGCTAAACTCGATTGAATGAAAAAGCATGAATATAATTTATGTATATCAAAATTGTAGTCCAAACCCGTTCTAAGTGGGTTGCGAATTGTGGCAGACTGACCCATATAATAATTAACAATATTTTTTTAAATTTTAACATATTTAATGTATTTTAATATATATACATATCAGGTTTGGTAACATGGAGAAAATATTTTTCACTTAGGTATATATTAGCAAGGTGTACCAAAAGATTTGGACAAAAAACCCTTAATGTTTTGATGTAACAAGTTTTAATAACATAAGTGTTTATGTAATTTAACTTTATCTTACCTCACACCCCTAAACTTCAACACCTCCTCATTTCACCCCTTATAGGTTACATATGACAGCGCATGGTATATAAAGCGCTGTTATATTTGAAACATAAAACAACACATGGTAATAAGGCGATGTTAATGTCATACGTAACATAAAAGATAACACTTTATATATCATGCGTTGTCATACATAAAATAAAAAAATAGTGCTTTATATATCATGCGCTGTCATACGTAACCTATAAGACAACGCTTTATATACTATGCGTTATCATACATAACCTATATGACACGCTACTACTTACTTACAAAGTGCGTTATGTTATATCATCAATACAACATCGCTACTAATAATATCCGTTGTTGAAAACTATTGTATTTTACAACACAACTTTTAAGTAGCGTTGTTATATATTTATTATAAGACAACTCTATTTGTAGTCCACACTATTATATTTGGCAGTTGTATAGCAGCGCATCTATTAGGTTGCGTTGTTGTATATATATGGTATACAACAGCGCCCGAAGAAGCACAGTTAATGTATACCATAACTACTGCGGTCAAACAGACAGCGAAAGAATGCGTTGTCATAAAGCCAAAATAAGAGTTGTTGCTTGACGTATCTGGCGTAGTGCATACACACTTTACGGACCAATATCAATTTACAAGCCAAGACATGAGTCATCGTCTAGTCAAAACATACCCTCCTTCTTAGTTTGTAAACCATCCATTAGAGGTGTCAAAACAAGCTATCAGGACGGATTTGGTATATCCCATATTGGATTCGGGCTAAACTCGATCGGACTAAAAAACACGTATATAATTTATATATATCAAATTGTAGCTCAAACCCGTCCTAAATGGGTAGCGGGTTGTAGCAGACTGACCTACATAATACTAAAAAATGTTTATTTAAATTTTAACATCTTTAATATATATATCATTTGATATTAATACATAATTTTTTTAAATACATAATTTTTTTAAATACATAATTTTTTTAATACACTTATTATCAATGTTATAAAACTTAAATCGGACATCAAACTTGAAGAGTTCTCAGGTTTAATCAGTTAAACCCCACCGTTGAAATGCACTATGTAACATATAATTAATTATATATATAATATTTAATAATTATATAAATGGACCATTATTTATGAATGGGCTTTCAAAACACGTTTCCAAAAATCTCACAAAATGAGCCATTTTGACCACAAACGTTTCGTGGATGGGATGCTGCCACATCATGCACCCAAGAGAGTGATGAACAGACATGGACAACTAATATTGCATGAAAAGTTGTTCATCATCATTGTGGTTTATACTTTTTATACACAGAAAGAAAAGGTAATTATATTACCACCATTGTAACATACCATCATCATTTTTTACATTCTGTATCATTTAAATGCTATAAAAAATAATATCATGTTTCTTTGTAATAATGATATTATAGATTGAAGTTCAGAATAAACTCTATATCTCAAAGTATAACAAACATTTTAATATATGATCATCATTCTTTACGTTATGTATAAAGGTTATTTGTATGGTTTTTATCAATACCGATATTGTGAGCGATTATGTTAAATTTGTATTTGTGAAATTTTAACTAACAAACAATTATGTTGTTTTTTAGTTTTACCGTAAAATTTATTGTTATTTATTATATATGTTTTTGTTGTAAAATTTATATCTAGTTAAATATATAATTATGTTATTATTAGTAAAATTTATTGCTCTTTATTATTGCTCAATGATCTGGTGAGGTTTGGGTCATAACAACTTATATAATTTTTATTTATTAATAATAATATAATAATAGAAAATAAACATCACAAACAGCATGGTTGTTACATAATAAATGGAAAATTTCAAATTCATCTTTTATGTGCTTTAATTTATAATTTTTTATATTTGAATCATGGTTGTTACATAATGAATGGAAAATTTCAAATTCATCTTTTATGTGCTTTAATTTATAATTTTTTTATTTGAATCATAAATAATAAATTGTTGTTTTTATCATTTCTAATGTTTAATTTGAAATAAATATTACTCAATAATAGAATTTCTTAAAATAAATAATTAAGATGGAGGAATAATTGTGATGTCATTTCTTTTTATCGGATCATCTTTGAATTGTCGTGACACTTCATTTCATTTATGTTCCTGGAAAAATTAAAATACAACCAACAACTTTTTGTGCCTTAATTTATAACTTTTTGTGGTACAGGACTTAGGAAGATGTTAAACTTAACTTTAACATCTCTCAAAAGATTTGAAGTCGTCACTATATTATTTGCAATTAAAATGTATGAAACTCTCTTTTATACTCAATTTTAAAAATGCTATTTTCACAACCATTTTGAGCTTCTAAGTCAATTATGAATTGAGGAAAATATTAACACATCTTCTACTCTATTGAAAATCTTACCCTCACTATTTGCATGAATTAAATATATCTTTAATTTCTTTTATTAAAAATTAATTAGTAAAATAAAATAATATTCTTTATATTTGTGTGTGACAAGAATTTATTTTGATCATACGTATCTTTCGGTGCAATTGAGAAATCAAGACTATACAACTTATTAATAGATATGTTTGATTTTTTTAATTATTAGAAGAAATGGTTTCACAATTATTATCTATATATTCACTTAAGTGAGTGTGACACTAAGACTTGTGTCCACACTACATCTTGATTTAAATGGATATACTACATTAATTTTCTGCTTACCCATTTTAAATGAGTGAGACGTCAACATTTATGTCTACACCGCAATTTGACTTAAAGTGATAAGTCTTTTATTAGTTATTTGCTGAACAACTTTAAGTGGGTGAGGTGACAACATATATAATTGATTCAAAACAACACTAGTGTGCACTACAACTTAACTTAAAATATAGTTTTTATTAATTACATCTTTAATCATGAATGAAACAACAACACTCATATCCTATCACACCACATAAGTTTTT